AATTTTAACCAACCTTTTGACCCAAATACCGCTTCCCACATTAGCCTTCTCTTTGGCCATCCTTTTTCCTCCTCACTGTCGTATATTCAAGAAGGCATCAGAAGCCACTAGAACTAGATCAACTGTAGGTGTAGAAGAAATAGTTTTTAAGACCAGGGGATCAGGAAAGTGTTCAAAAGAGATTCAAGTTGGCTTCCTCTAACTCCCTGTGGTATAAGAGAGAGAGAGAAGATAAAACATAGGCAGATTAAGAGGATTCAGTCCTACAGTCTATCTTTTTTTTTTCTTGAAATAACAGAACTTTATTTAGAAACTGGTTTTTTAAAAAAATCTGTCAAGAGAAATCTGGTTTGAATAATATTTAGGATAACAAGGAACATTTAGGGCAACAAACGAAATAGCACATCTGATGTTTTAAATAATATTTTATTTAAATAATATTTTTCTTTTCATTTTCTCCTTCTTTTGTTTTTGTTGATCCAACGAGACAGGTGTCTTGTTCTTCATGTGCTGGATCCATTTAGAACCATCACCTTATGCTCTTAGCTACTCCTTCTGTCTTGATATCCTGGAAAGTCAACCTTGCCCTATAACAGTGATGGCGAACCTTTTCAGCACCAAGTGCCCAGACTGGAGCGTGCGTCACAAACACCGGAAACTCAAAGACTTGGTCTTCTGGTTTCCGCCATGCGCATGTGTGCCTGCCAGCTGGTCTTCACGTGTGCTGGAGTCCCAGAAACCTGAAGACCGGAGCCTTGGGAATCTGAAGACCTGATCTTCGGGTTTCCGGGGCCCCAGCACACACCAGAAACCAGAAGAACAACTGGCGATCGCAAGCGTGACAACAGAGAGGGCTCTGTGTGCCACCGCTGGCACATGTGCCATAGGTTCACCATCACAGCCCTATAACATGGGAGCAGCTTCAGATTATAGACAATGATGATATCAGTGGTGTTTGCCTAGTTCCTATAGATGAGTTACAATATGGGCAACTTACTGAAAAAAAATACCATCTTCTTGCTGAAATCTGTTGGCCGTAGTTGCTGTTTGGTTCTCAGTACAGCCTCCACAACATGAAGGCTTTGGAAATATTTTTTCCCCTCAGATCATCCTCATTCTTCATGTTGTTTCTTTCATGGTGTGGAACAGAGGTGGGATCACCTGGTGTCCTACTTTGTATGTATTCTGCTGCTGTTATGGCACAAGAGAGTTAAAGCTGGAATAATCAAAGGCTCTTCCCTTTGGGACTGTCCACGCTAATTATCCACAAGCCTGTTTCCAGCAACTCTGAAAAGCTCTGTACTTCTGGTGTAAGATTGAGATAATGCAGGATATTCTTACTAAGCTCCAAGTCCTTTTTATTTCTTGCCTGTTATTCAGTCCTTTTCTGGTTGTTGTCCTGCTTTTGCCAGTTAACTGTTTTCAGTTGCTAGCCGATGTTTTATATATATATTTTTTCTGCTAGCTGAGCTGAGTGACTTGTGTGCTTGCTCTGGTCTGGATAAATGGATTGACCAAAAGCATGCCAAAAGCAAATAAATATGGAAATTTCCCACAGTAATTTTGAAACAGTTCAACGTGTTGTAAAAAAAAAAAAAATCTTTGTCAAAAACATGTTGTGTGAACCAGACCACCATTTTAGACCCTCATATGCCTTCTTTGCCACTGTAGAATAAGTCCTATGAACAGAGACTGTATTTGTTAACCCAAATTTAACATGCTGTATAAACCCAGCCATGGAGGAGTTTCTGTGATGCAAAGCAGTCAAGTCCTGTGCTTCCTTTTGTAGTAAGGTTATTAACTTTCTGGTGCAGTCTTCAATCTGGTACAATCAGCACATATTTGAATTCAGTGGATTTATAGAAATAGAAACTGCAAGCAAATTGCTTCCTAAAGAATGGAAAAAGTGGTGAATTTGAACTACAGTATGGGTTAGGGAAATGGACTACAGTGTTGTGGCTCTGTTGCCTGAGCCTGGGCTATCGACAGATGCAGACTCTGAGAGTGAGGGAGAGGGGTTGGAAAGGCCTCCCTCTCCAGGACCCTCCTCTCTGGCAATGCCTCCGGAGGACACCGAAGGCCAAGAGATAGGCCCAGAGCCAAGCACATCCCCGCAGCCACAGGTGGACAGCGACGAAGGAGATAAATGCTGGCTGGATCCTCGACAGCGGTGCAGGGAGAAGTGTGCGCAGCAGAGGGGAAGGCGTGCCAGAGATTAGCTGAGTCACTGGACCACACCCCACAGGGTATAAATGTGGGTGTGGTGGCCAATTCAGTTTGTGACGAGCAAAAACTAGAAATAATCCATGATCTCTGTGTTACTGGACTTCTGCCTGCCTTGTCGGACTGCATTTCGACTAATCCTTGTATTGCTGAAACTTTGCCTGCTTTATCGGAATGCTTGCAGTCTAATCTTTGTTTTGTGTGAGTAAAGTCTGAATTGACAGCTAGCCACTGGGTTGCTGGCAGCTTTATCTTCAAAGACTTTGTCGTGTGGCTTATTAACGCCGGGCCGTCTGTGGGGGTGCGTGTGTGGGACAGGGACAGAACATACAGGTAATCCTTGAGTCCAAGAAGCCATTTAACAAATGTTCAAAATTATGACAACTCCCCCCCCCCGCAAAAAAGCTATGACCCCATTTCAAAGTTATGATGGCTGCAGTAGACCTGTGGTCGTTTGCCCTTACAACCCACCACAGGGTTGCTACAGTGCCCTCCCGCCTCTCTCTCTCTATCCCACCCCACTGGAACCCTGCAGAGCTTGGGCCTCCTCCCCACATGCCCATCACACTCCATACTTATCTTCTGAAGCTCTTCAGACTTCAGGTTGTGGAAGGAAGGCAGTCATTAGTCCCTGGGTCACATGTCAGCTATCCAAATATGGCTGCCATTTTGTTCCCGCTCATTTGTGGGCGGGACAAAATGGGGGCCATCAGACAAAGTGCTTTGTTTTGCTGTCTTAGAGAGGTCACCCCAGTGCGGCAGAAACTTTTGAAATTTGTAGAACGCTTCTCCAGCACTCTGCATACCTTGTTAAGGCAGCAGAACAAATATAGTTTGTCACCAGACCTTGTAGTAGCAACCTGAATGTGGACGCCATTTTGTCCCTTCCCACAAACGTGTAGAAACAAAATGGAGGCCTCCCGACAAGTTGCTTGATTCTGCTGCCCGAGAAAGGTCTCCGCAGTGCTGCAAAATGCTTCCAAATGCTGCAGAAAGCTTCTGCTGCAGGTATGCAGACCTGGTTAAGGCAACAAAATAAAGCAGTTTGTCCCCGGGCTGTGTGGCAGTGACCCAGTGTGGGCAGGGGTGGGCTCCTGGGAGTTCGACAGAGTTTGGGCGATCCTCTAGCCAAGGATCGCCAGGGTTCAGTGAACCCCCAAATGCCACCCCTGAGTGGCCACGCCATGCCACCCCACCCCTCCCATCCCACCCCTCCCCTCCCTTCCCCTCCCAGGAGTCTCCATGCAGCCCGTTCATCTTTCCAGGTAAGTGCAGGGGCCGCGCACAGGGTCTGGGAGGGCAAAAATGGGCCTACCAAAAGTTCTGGAAGTCCAGAAATGGGACTGTTTCTGGCCTCCAGAGGGCCTTTGGAGCCTGGGGGAAGCAGTTTTTGCCCTCCCAGAGGCTCAAAGAAAGCCTCTGGAGCCTGAAAATGCCCCCTTTTCACTGTGGTGCAGATGGCTGACTAAGCCACCCCCACCCAGCAAACTGGGCAGGGTCCCCATGTTAAAGGATCTGAAGCCCACCCCTGAGTGTGGGTAGGACAAAATGCCAACCACTTTTTTGGAATCGTGCCATACTGTTGAGCAAGGAAGCAAGGCCTTCCAGCCCTCTGAAAGGCCTTGGAGCTCTTCAAAAGGTAAGGGAGGAGAAGCTTGTTTGGCATGGGGACAGGGAATCAGGCCTAAGGCCTAGGGATAGCTGAGATGGGGGGAGTGGTTAGGTGATACATTTGTCAAGCTTCAAAAGACTTTTTGCTGTTGCAGCTATTATCGCATCTCAGCTTGGCAATGAAGTATGGGGGGAGAGGGAAAGGGAGATAGACCATGGCCCAGACATCGAGATGTCGGCTTGAGAACCAAGGACATTTCGTCAGGTGTTTACCAAAGACCAAAAAGTTTCCCACAACAATATCCAGAGACCTTATTGGACAATGTGATCTGAGCTAATGGGGGGGGGTAGAATTTGAATTTTAACTATAGGGATTAACACGGGAAAGATCTAGATCTGGTTTTGCCTTCAAATGTGCCAAAATAATGTATTCAATAAAGTTTTACATAGAGAGATTGGATTGTCTCGATCGTGCTTGCTTTGATTGGGTTTCGTCAGTTGGAACCTTGACAACATTACTGCTATGACATGCAACTGTAATGGACAGGATCCATTAACGGTTATATCTCAAGGACTACCTGTATAACACATAGCCCTATTGCATGGTGGATTGGTTCTATTGATCCTTATACTGTTATTTCATGTGATGAGTATTATATTTTATTTATTTGTAGCTCACCTTTATTATTTTTACAAATAACTCAGAGCAGCATACATATCCAACACATCTTTCTCCTGCTATTTTCCCCACAACAAGCACCCTGTGAGGTGGATTGGACTGAGAGAGAGAGAGAGAGACTAGTTCAAATTCACCCAACTGGCTTTCATGGCTAAGACAGGACTTGAACTTGCGTGATATTGGGAATCCTATTCTATAAGAATGCAGGCAAGAATAATGAACTTCAGTTGTGAAGTTTAACGTATGTTGTAATGTAAATACAATAAAAGGAAAATAAGACAGAATTCATTTTCTGCCCAGTAATATAAATCCCCAAAATATAAACTAGAATAATAATCCATGCTGAGCAACGGGGCTGATGAAATGTTAATAATTTCCAGAGCTCTGCATTTTAATTTAAAAGGTTATCTTTGAGAAGTGATGTATTTAGAAAAACACAGTGCATCCCATTTAAAATATCAATTAATATTTATGTTGTATATTGCAGAAACAAAGGTCCAATAATTTCTGAAATGAAGCACAGATTGAACTTCTAGTGGGATGTTGAGCATTTGGCACTGGGTGAGTTTATAATCTGACTTTAATGAAATTGGCAAAAGGAATAGCAAAACCCAGCTTAAAATTGAAATCCAGGTAAATATTTGACCAGCCTGCAGAATATAATATGAATGATGGGTTTCTATGCTTAAATAAGCTGCTTTCTTACAGTAAGACAGTAAAGTGAAGACTCTTATGTGGGCCTGTGCCATTTTGACAAGAGAATAAGCATATATTTATAGGCTCTGAAATGTTAATTTAAAATATTCCTTTTGCCTATTGGCAGCCATTCCACTAGTAATAAATAGGAGATTCAGTTCCTTGGTGCATTAGAAACTATTCCATTAGGCTGCAATAAAAAGGCAATCTTTTATTCAGGGCTCGAGCATCATTTATAGAAATGAATTCAGTAGAAATAGGAAAAAATCTTCTTCCTGTACATATGCTAGGAGTTCGTTCTATCCGTACAAGAGAAAAATGTCTATTTTAATTTTGAAATTATACCATCTCCCATTTTGTTCCATTCCATGACTGTGGCCTATTATATTTGCTTGTATGTATCCTATTTATTGTTTCCTATTTATTCACATGTATTTCTCTATCAGTCAAATCAATTTCCCTAGATGATGACTGAAAAACAAAGAATGGAACTCAAATTGAAAAAGAGAAAATAATATCCTAATATTGTTTCATATTTGTCTGTTGATGCCAATAGAAAACACCGGTTGATTTACTGATCATGACAGGTTTTATATTCATAATCAAATTCAATAATATCCTTGATAGTCTGGAATTACAGAAGCAAACAAGGTCAGGGATGTGCTGATCTTTTTATAGCTTCTCAGACGCTCCAGGAAACTTCACGTGATCCAGGCAATGGCCGTGTTAATAATAGTGCTATTGTAGGAGGAAGACAGGTAGAGCCTGGGGACAGAATCAAGAGAGTTGACTGAATTTTCCTCTAGATTTCTAGCAACTGTTTCCTTTTGGCAATCTGTTTCAGCTATTAGTGGGACCTTGTTACTTTCGTTAAAGTTGCATTGATAATTCTGAGAAAGGTCAATCCTATAACGTCCATGTCACAAAAAGTTTTTTTAATGTATTGCCTTTTTAAAACATTTAATATAACAATGGATAATAGTTGTATTAGAACAAATCCAAAACAATAGACCAAAAAACAACTTTTAAAAGATCTTTCTGCATCAGACTGCTGTTGTTCTGGAGTCATTTTGTCGTGAGAGGACAGTGGAGCTTGGCAGCCTGACCATGGACTGGAATTTTCCCTACGCTTATAACATCAGTGGTCCCCCACCCTTGAACTGTTTCCCCTGATAGCTATATGTACTCGGTGTTGGAACTCCTCGCCCTGCGAGATTCTCCCCTCTCGCAGATTTGGCCCCCCACATTATCGAGGGCCTATCTCGATGACGGACTTTGGAGTCCGGAGAGATGGCATGGAGCAAGGAAGAATTTATGGGGCTTTTTAGGGAAATTTTTAAAGATTTTAAGGGGTTCTGGGGGAGGGGGTTGTAATTATTCTTTTAAAGATATTGGGAAGACGACTAGGGCGGATTGGGGGGGAAATCCACCAGGGTCAGAGCCGTGCCCAGCACAGGGTAACGATCCGGGGGGCACCGGACGAGGGATTGGGAAAGGGATGGGGGACGATATCTATGAGGGCTGTACCATCGGCATGGTGAATGGGAGGGGCAGATATGGCGGGAGCAGGGGACCACATCAGGTGTTGGGGGCTCGCACTTGCTGTCTGAGAGCAATTGCTTGCCCCGGTCCCCAAGGCTCTGCTCGGATACTAGGTGGCTTAGATACTCAGGAGCTGGGCCTTCGGCTGATGCTGTGCAATGCCAGGTCCGTGGTCAATAAGGCCCCCCTCATCCACGATCTTATACAAGAGGGAGGAGCGGACCTGGCGGGTATTATGGAGACCTGGTTGGGCCCGGAGGGTGGCATCCCTCTGGTTGAAATGTGCCCACCAGGCTTCAGAGCATTCCATCAGCCGAGGGCTCAGGGGAGGGGCGGGGGGGTGGCGGTTATTATTAACGAGGATCTGGGTCCGAGGGAGACCGCTGTGCCTCAGATAGCCGGATGTGAGTCCCTCCTTGTGAGGTGGGGCCGTGGGGTTCAGATGGGCTTGTTGCTTACGTACCTGGCTCCCTGCCGCGTGGCAACAGCCCTACCTGAGCTACTCGACGTGATAGCCATGGTGGCAGTAGATACACCCAGGCTTTTAGTCATGGGTGATTTCAACTTGCCATCCGTCGGTGAAACGTCTGAGGTGGCTCGGGAGTTCATGGCTTCCATGACAGCCATGGACCTGACCCAGTTAGTTCATGGCCCTACTCACAGGGGAGGTCACACTCTGGATCTGATTTTTGTCTCTGGCCAGTGGTTGAGTGGTCTTGTTATAGGGGATATAGACATGGAACCCTTGTCATGGTCTGACCACTCACTCCTTCGCCTAGATCTTCGAACCGCGACCCCTCGCCGCAGGGAGGCAGATCCAATTAGATGGATCCGCCCCAGGCGCCTGATGGATCCTGATAGGTTCCAGACGGAGCTTGGGCCATTTCCTGAGGATCTAGCACATGACTCGGCCGAGGACCTGGTAGCCGCCTGGGATCGGGCGGCTGGTGGGGCCTTGGACCGAGTTGTGCCTTTGCGGCCTCTGACCCGATGCCGATCCCGTGCGGCTCCTTGGTTTACTGAGGAGCTGAGGGAAATGAAGCGCCAGAAAAGACGCCTGGAGAGCGGTTGGAGGGCCAGTCTCGCTGAATCTGATCGAACACTGGTAAGGTCGCATATTAAGGCCTACCTAGTGGCGATAGAGAAGGCAAAGTCTAACTACTTTTCCGCCTCTATTGCGTCATCAGGGAATCGTCCGGCCGCCCTGTTTAGGGTGACCCGCACCCTGCTCCATCCGGGAGTGCGGGAGGATCCCTTAGAAGGCAGGACGGAGGATTTCGGACAATACCTGTATGACAAAATCGCCCAGATCCAGGGGGATTTGGACTCTGACTGGGTAGATCAGGGCAGGGTGACGAGGAATAGTCTTGAGAATGTTATCTGGGAGGAGTTTGATGCTGTGACTCCTGATGATGTGGACAGGATTTTGGGGAGACTTAGTGCGGCCACATGTTTACTGGACCCGTGTCCCTCCTGGTTGGTACTGGCTTCCCGGGAGGTTACACGAGGCTGGCTCCAGGGTGTTATCAACGCTTCGCTGAGTGAGGGTTACTTCCCCACCACCTTGAAAGAGGCAGTGGTGAGGCCTCTCCTCAAGAAGCCGTCCCTGGATCCGGCAATATTGGCCAACTATCGTCCTGTCTCCAACCTTCGCTTTATGGCGAAGGTTGTTGAGAGTGTGGTCGCACGACAGTTTCCGCAATTCCTGGAGGAAACATCTTATCTAGATCCGTTCCAGTCAGGTTTCAGGTCTGGGCACAGCACAGAAACGGCATTGGTCGCGTTGGTTGATGATCTCTGGAGGGCTCGGGACAGGGGTTGTTCCTCTGTTCTGGTCCTGTTAGACCTCTCAGCGGCTTTTGATACCATCGACCATGGTATCATGCTGCACCGGCTGGAAGAGTTGGGGGTGGGAGGCACCGTGTTGCGGTGGTTCTCCTCCTTTCTCTCCGACCGGTCGCAGTTTGTGTTGGCAGGGGGGCAGAGGTCGACCTCAAGGCCTCTCATTTGTGGAGTGCCGCAGGGATCGGTCCTCTCGCCTCTCCTGTTCAACATTTATGTGAAGCCGCTGGGTGAGATCATCCGTGGCTTTGGGGTGAGATACCACCAGTACGCTGATGACACCCAGCTGTACATCTCCACCCCAGGCCACCCCAACGATGCCCTTGAAGTGATGTCCCAGTGCCTGGAGGCTGTACGGATCTGGATGGGGAGGAACAGGCTCAAGCTCAACCCTTCCAAGACTGAGTGGCTGTGGCTCCCGGCATCCCGATATAGTCAGTTGACTCCATCACTGACTATTGGGGGCGAGTCATTGGCCCCCACAGAGAGGGCTCGCAATCTGGGAGTCCTCCTGGATATGCAGCTGTCCTTGGAGGAACATCTGACGGCTGTAACCAGGGGGACCTTTTGTCAGGTTCGCCTGATTCGCCAGTTGCGGCCCTTTCTTGATCGGGATTCCCTGTGCACAGTCACTCACGCCCTCGTCACCTCTCGCCTTGACTATTGCAACGCTCTCTACATGGGGCTCCCCTTGAGGAGCACCCGGAGGCTCCAGCTGGTCCAGAACGCAGCAGCGCGGGTAGTGACGGGAGCAGCATGGCGCTCCCATGTAACACCGCTCCTGCGCGAGCTGCACTGGCTCCCAGTTGTCTTCCGGGTGCGCTTCAAGGTGTTGGTTATCACCTTCAAAGCGCTCCATGGCATAGGGCCTAGCTATCTTCGAGACCGCCTGCTGCTACCAACGACCTCCCATCGACCCGTGCGCTCCCACAGAGAGGGCCTCCTCGGGGTGCCATCAGCCAGACAATGTAGGCTGGTGACCCCCAGGGGGAGAGCCTTCTCTGTGGGGGCACCTACCCTCTGGAATCAGCTCCCCCCAGAGATAAGGAGAATCCAAGACCTCAGTGCCTTCCGTCGCGCCCTTAAAACCCATTTATTTAAACAAGCCGGGCTGGCTTAAGATGAAATTTTTAACTGTTTTTAAATGTTTTAAACGTTTTTAATTGGTAAATGAGTTTTAATTGGGCCAAATTTATATATCTTTTAATTGTTTTTAATATTTGTTCTGCATGTTTTTTAATCTGGCTGTACACCGCCCTGAGTCCTCAGGGAGAGGGGCGGTATAGAAATCCAATATAAAATAAAAAAAAAATAAATAAATTTTTCATTTGATAAATTCCTATGGGAAAGCCATTCATCTTTTATAAGGAAGGAACTTTGAACCAGTCAGTTTTATACTGGAATCCAGAAATTCATGTCACAAAGCTGATTTGCCCTACGTGATTAAACAAGTTAAAAGCCACAGCTGCAAAAATTGGATA